GTCTTCTAGTGAAATATTTGCAAAAAATGTGTATTGCCGGACCTGCTCATCGTTAGTATCTCCCCCCTCTCTCTCAAGTGCGGGCAATAACGAGAACCACCTACCGATGTCGCTCTTACAAACTCGAACATACTCAACCCCACACCGGATTGTGTTTGTTGGGGTCCTCGTAGTTTCACAATGGCTGTTGCTCCAGAGATGTGTTTCTTGAAGCCGGACATCTCAACGTCGTCCGATACCAGCCCTTCGTAAAAAGCTAGAAGGATGGCCGAGGCAAGTGTCGTATCCTGCCTAACGGCCAACTTGTCCTGCATGGCTCGTGTCAAATCTTCGAGGGCTTTGCTGTAGTGCAGATGAGCCATGGAAGACAAACGACGCGAGTTTGGTCTCCCAGCCAGGGCCGCCATCGATACGGCGGAAAAGGCAGACTGCAGCGGCGATGCCTGGTAGGTTGGCATGTTCAACAAAGGGAGAACGAAGGTAAGAATACCCCGACCGACTCCTGTTGGCGGGGCGAGGACGTAGTTGGCAAGGAAGTAACAGGTCGCTTGCTGGTCGAGCGGTGTCTGCAAGGTGTGTGGCATCCCGTACGTCCCCCCTTCGATGTCTTTGAATGATACGAATGCGTCGGGCGCCCGATTGCTGATGTACGATAGTGACGACGCATATGACATGGACGGCGACACGTCTGATGAAGATGAATTTGAATACCTGTCGAACCAGTCGTCGTCACTCGTCACTGGTATAATGTTGACCTGCCGTTGTCGTGGAGGCTGTGCCGCCGGTGGGGTCCATTCCATCACCTGGGGCTGGATCTGCCCCTCGCCTTCTTCATCCTGCTCCGTTGCGCGGCCCTCCTTGATGGCTTTACGCAGAGCGGCGGACTTTGCCTTGCGGATTGTTGACTGAGTCTCATCTCGAAGGTTGATCTCGAAGGCGTCCCGGTAGCCCGGACAGACTCTTTTCGACTTGGCGCACTTTAAACAGAACGGCTTAGTCTCGTCACACTTGATTCTCCTCGCACGGCAGAGCTTGCAAGCCCTGCTCGGGTGCCCCGTATTGACCATTTTGGAAATTCAAAGCAAGATAGGGAGGCTGATGGAACGGTAGTACTGTGTTTCCTCGAAGTTGTGTTCCTGCCAACGGTCCAGGGCCAGTTGATGGTTCAAGTTTCGGTGGCCTTGTACCATGTGGCCGAATCTCCTTATCGAAGTAGGAAATTATAGGGGGATTGCGAGGGGCGAACGTGCCTCTACAAGTCATAAAAGGGAAAGAAGTAGACAGAACCGGAGGTGTCAGACGCAGCCGGCCGGGCGGCTGTTGATGAAAGTTGGAAGGAAACGCAGGCTGATCGTTTGCACAGATGAAAGAAGCCGCGAGGAAGTCGATATGTTTCAACTCTAAAACTCGCCCCGCTTGTCTGTCTTGGTGACAACTGCCAGCTTCTGGTTACGAGGTCATCTGCTGAGCAGAGAGTGGATGAGAAAAGAAGAGAAAGATGTCATTGCGAGTCAAGACTTGGTGGGAGGTGGGAGAAAGAGGGAGAGTACAGGAGGAGGCGATGGTTCACCCATGACAACTCGCAACCACGGATAGCCTATTACACGAGCCCGTTCGGCCCAGTCGTCATATCTGATTGTCCAACCTTCAGGTTGGACCTGTCAACAGCCAACCAGATAGACGTGACAAGAAGACACAAGCTGGCATCCCTCCCCCGGTGGGGGGTGGCTTGAGCGAATGCGAATTGTTGTTGTCAAGATGCGCAAGAGTAACATCAGACGAAACGGTGCAGCCCGAGCGTCGCTGCAGGCTTGCAACTGAAAAGAGTGAAACCGGAACTCCATGCGAAGACAACTGGTGTTTCTGAAACCCAGTCACCTATTACTAGGGCGCATGAGAACACCTGAATGGGTTTGGCGCCGTTCGTATCCCACACGGTCTTCTAGAAGCTTGCCGGGTTGGACTGCAGATTTTGTGGACTGGTTGCCAGCACGTCGGCACTCAGGGCACCGGCACACATTTTAGCATGCGTCGAGGGAGATCATTGGAGGATCTTCGCAGGGAAGCTGGAGGCGGAGAGTTCCGTTCTATTCCCGTCCCACGCCATGCGTTTCCCCCGTTCCTTGGTGTCTCCTGTCTGTCGTCGCTGTCAACGAAGATACCCTCAAATAGAAATCTTGCCGGCCTGATACGTCGCTATCAGACTGACACGACCTTGGTACTAAACCCTGTACCAAATACAGCCCTGCAAGTTAATCAAGGCACTGAGCCATCACCTGCAACGGGTTGGTTCATAAAAGAAAGAAAAAGAAGAAGCTAGGAGGGTGAACCTGACCCTCCCGACGAAGTCAAAACAAACTTCCCGAATTAGTAGGCCACTAGCCTCTTTGTGCGATCAGTGCGTCGTAGATTCGGCTCACGTGGTGAAGCTGCCCCTCGGCAAACTCGGACACGAATCCGAAGGGGGGATTGAGATTGTTTCCTGCCAGGTTCGCTTTCAGGAGTCTCTTTCAGTCTTCCTGTGTGTTAGAAGAGTCGTCTGATGAAGTATACTGACGCGTTGACCTGCAGGCACAATTTGCTTCCTGACATGACGTGGCAAACCGTTGCCTCGGTCTCGGTGTCCTTTATAATCCCTTCTCCCTCTCTCTGTGTGCTAATCGGTAGATGAGGATCGCGAAGAGAAACCGAGTCTCACGCACGCCATCCAGAGGTTAGAGTGGAATGATTTCGCCTTGTCAGATCCGGCCAAGATTCGACTTAGAGAGCTCAGGCCGCCGAGGGTGGCTTGCAAATTCCAGTCACCTCTAAAATTTCATCACGGAGATAAATGTTGACCGTGAAATAAAAGGACATGCTCGAGTGAAACTACGCCCAATGACATGTTGCCAGTATTCCGAATCAGAATCAAGGCCAGTGCGCGTTACCACAAGTGCACCTGGCGGCCTCACGATAGCACGGCAACAGCTGCCCACTAGCCGCAATGGGGAGCCAATGAAGCCATCACGACAAGTCCCCTAGATCCATCCTCATCAGCTGCCACCTCAGAGTGGTGTGTGGCTGTGTTTCCCCTGCGACACTAAACACCCGCTGACGGATCCTTCCGTGACCACCAAGGCGCCATTAGTGTACCGGCATGGACGACTGCTGCACTCGTGAGACCATCAGCATGGATCAGGGGCACAACAGGTCCTCACTTTATGTGCGCTTTAAAGCTTGCGGGGAAGAGCAAAAAGCAAGAGGATGTCGATCTTGGACTCTGGGCCCTTGGCGACTCTAACCATAGTACAAAGCCAAGAGCATCTTAGACCCTAAACAGTTGCGGACGCGCACAGGGCCTGAATGCAGGCTAGCCGGACCGCTCCGGTCTCGTACTCTCTTTCTATGGCTGCTTTATTGGCATCTCATTATTTCTCACAACTTACAGGATGAAAGCTCGGCTAGCGCGGCCCCCGCCTCCTTTCTCTCATCGTTGGAACCGTTTTGTCTTCACTTTGGATGGAAGAACCCGTCTCAGTTGCTTGTGTTCACGAGCGGGATTCGTCGCAGAGCACCGGACTTGGAAACGGCAGCCAAGCACGCAAGTGGCAGGCGTTGGACCCCGGCATTCCGCCGACCTGTCCGGCCAGTACCAAAGAGCCGCCCTGCGCCCTGCCCTGTCGCCCAGCGGCGGGAGTCCAGCTCATGGACGCGCGGAATGTGGGCGAGGCCTGGGGTGGTCCTGGCTAAGATCACGGCAGAGAGGAACAAGGTTTCTCTCCCAGGGCCCTCTCCCTGCGACTGAACAAGGGTATCCGTATCCTGTGTAGACTCTAACTCTATTGCCTTACGATGTATAATCGATCACTCTGTCCAGAGATCAGTTTGTGGCCCCTATCGTCAAATTGACAGGGGAGGCGGATGGGAGGCGGCCAGAGAGTTTAGGCGCTGAGCTCGGATTCGCCCGCCATCCATCAATCACTCTAGAAACATTAAGGCATCGTAGTGCGAAACAGATGGGTAGAACGCTGCAGTGTGGCGGGACCAGGGGCCTTAACAGGCAATCATATCACCAAGCGGCGCCCTAATCCACGTGCGCGAGTCCCTCAGACACTGGCTTCCCTGCCAGCAACCGATGCAGTGGCCACCGCGCGATCCTGCGTTTTAGTGTAGAGGTTTAAGCTTCATGACCATTTGAGGGAGATCGATGCAGGCCTGTGTCATGTCGCCACATGCTCATCAGCAAGCAGCACTGCCAGTTGCCGGTCCCATGGGGTCGCAATGTTCCCCGAACCCGATTCTGCTGATAGTTTTCTGATCAACAATCCGTCTTTATACGGCCGAGACGGAGTTAAGTCAGTGCTGCGGAAGCGTACTCGCAGTAGGCTCTCAAGGGGGTGAAAAAGAAAACCGCCGGTCTGACTTTGACCTTTCTACTTCCCGAGGGCAACAACAGCACCAGATCGGGGCTAATTATATCAAATATACATCTCTTAATTATCCTCACTGGCGTGCCAAACTGGTTTTCAGTTTATGATTCGGGATTGAATTCCGTGTAGCGATGCAGTTGAGTCGAGGCCCCTCTGGAAAAAGCGGCGGTTTATTTTTCACCCGATGGGCTCTGCACTACAACCCTTCGTGGACTAGAGTTCAGCGTAACACACAAGTATCAATGAGCCTAGTGCGCCTATTATTAGTGAGTGGTCCAGCAGACACACCACATAGGCGATTGACCTCGCAATCTCATACACCTTGACGCAAGGCACTTATGAGAGCCACCCACTGATTAGTGGCACCGTTGATATCTACTTCAGGATGCGAGCCAAGCACACACATGGTTTGCCCGATTAGCCCACAGACTGGAGAGAGGGAAGGAAGGTATACAAGAGCGGCTCGGTGACCCACATATCCAGAAGCACGAGGCGTTGCGAGGTGCTTGAGGCGGAAGACGGAAGACTTGGGAGTTCTTCCTGTCAATTACCGAAAGAGTAGTAGTCGAGGAGAAAGGAGAAGAGGATCGGCGGCTAGCACTGGTTTGCAAGACCGACACCCCGGCACAGGCACAGTTCGGATTCGCATGGCTCGCAACAATCGAATGGGAATTGTTGATGGGATGGATAACGACAGACATGTTCATGACAGCAACTTGCCCTATCAGGCTGACGGGCCCGCCAGAACGGGTCCCAAAGAGCCGCAGGCTTGTCTTGGTGGGCGAACAGACGTCCTACACAGGTTAGATGCCAGCAAGAGACAGGGAAGACACGGGTAACGGCAGGCACCCATAGAAAAGACGGTTAGAAAAGATAGGACGAGAGATGGAGTCTATATTTCGATTGCCTCTTTGGAAGGGGCGACTTGTTGCGATGCGAACCAGCTGTCGGGTTCCGGAACAGCGATGGCCTGTTGTCCCCCAACCGCACCCGAAACGGTTTGGTGTCGAGCTTCCTCCTCCCACCTGCCTCAGAGGGTAACTCGGCGGAAAGTCTAGGGTGAGTGTCTAGACTATTCCAACACCGGCCCGCAGCCTGAGATTCTGTCTAATGCTACAGCAAACCAGTGATGAGTGTTCGGGGCTCGGGAGGGGGTCGGGCCAAGGGATTCAAGGAGGAGAAAGGAGGATGGAGCGCAAAGACAAGATGATGGGCGGCACCGAACTCGATTGTAATAAGGGTCGCAATGGATCCATGTGCCATCTTGATTTTGTAATTCTTCTTTCTCGAACAAAGAAAACGAGAAGGAACGCCCAGTCGTTGAACGAACCGCCACTGCAACTGGATACCCAGTACCGTGGTCTTCTTCGACACAACACACCAGGCGAAACGTCGTCATCCACGGACAGCCGAAATCACTTACCGGATACGTTTTGTCGTCATAGTCCGACATACCTGGAGTCCAGCCATCAGGCCTCCCACAACGTACATTCAGCGTCCAACACCAGCGTTTCCCTCGGGCCGGTTGGTGTCCGCCCTGCAGCTCTATACGACACTCCCATCGCAGCCTCCGTACAGTCCGAGTACCCGGAGGCAACAGATGGAGTTAACGACCAGGTGTCTGGCCCAGTCTAAGAATCCAAGAGGGACGCTCGCCTCCTTGGTACACGAAACCCGTCACTCCGTGAGCCGTAATGCGATCACGGACCCAGTTCAACTCCATCATTGATTCAAATCGGCATACGGACCCATACACGCAGGGGCTCATCTGACACTTTCTGCCCATATATGTTAGTTTCTATCATCTACTTGCCTCTTTCGACCTCTGTCGAACCGATTCGGACGTGTCTCCACAAGCCGTCATCCCGCCCAGACCCTGTACCGGCCTTGACTCGATAAGGAAAGCAGCACGCCTCACTATCGACTATAAGCAACTATGGCCGTCATCACTGGTCTGTTGTCTGCTGTCGCTCCTCTTCTGTCTCTCAAACTCCTCATCGCCCGAGACTCCGAGGCAACAGCAGAGGCCTCAAAACCCCAGTCATTACCACTAGCCCAGGTGGCAGTATCAGTCCCAAGGGCAGCCGCAGAACCGGCGTCAGCTTCATCGTCGACTCCAAAACTGCTGGCCACGCTAGCCGTGGCTACGTTGGCTGACCACAAATCAACAGAAGCCAGCGCTGGTGCTTCGAGTGGTGCCCCGACGCCGGTTGATCAGCCTCCACCTCTTCAAGTCATTGTCGAGACGAAATATATTGTCTACACGCAAGTGAAGACTGTAGCTCCCTCGTACATTACAGTCACACAAACAATACAGCCGCCGCCGCCGCCGCCACCACCACCTCCTCCGCCGGCATCACCACCACCAGGGCAAGCACAACCTCCTGCTCCCCTCCTGCGGCTCAAAGCCTGCAGCCATACATAGTTCCTATTGCAAACCACGGTCCACTGGTAGCCTCATCATCTATTTCTGCACCATCGGCGCCAACAACACCGGTTGGAACACCAGAAGTAGCTGCTGCTTCATCTTCTCTCCCGCCGCCACCGCCTGTTCTCTCGCCCATCATGAGCGCTTCTGGCCCTGTGGGAGGTGGCTTGACGGGTATGATTCCTAACCCGCAGGCTCAGGCTGGTCCGCCGGGCGGTCCGCCAATGGGACCTCCTGACCCGATCAATGGCGCGTTCCCTGGTGGCGTGCCGACCAGCAGCCTCGACCTGCCTCTCACCATCATGTTCATGATGTTGTTCATGCTCGGGGCGTACGTCCATATCACCATTTATAAGCGGAACGCGAAGCGAGGTCACAAGTTTCTCATTTCGGACATCGTTTTCGACTTTTGCATGATCCGGACAGTGACGTGCATCTTTCGGATAACATGGTCACTTGTCACGACAAGAGGCGTGGTCCTCATGGCGTTGATCACCGAGAACGGCGGGTAAGTTTGTAAATCCTGGCCATGGAGTCCACATAACTAACACTTATAGTGCCGCTCTGTTGTTTGCCGTCAACATCTTCTTTGCCCAACGCTTGGTCCGCTCGATCCACCCCAAGGCGGGATGGTGCACGGCCTTTGGCCAGTTCACCTTCATCCTGCTCATCTCCGTTCCGGTCTTTATTCTCGTGAACATGATATCAACGATAGTCAGCTTTTTCAGCGCGGGCAACGTGGATCGCCTCGAGGTGACGGAGGATCTGATTAAGTTCGGAAGCTCCTGGAATACGTGGCTCGCCATCTTCCCTGTGCTCACCGTCACCGGGTGTCTCTGTGTGCCGGGACCCGAACCGGAAAAGTTCGGTAGCGGCTCGCAGAGAGTCAAGGTGGCGCTGCTCTACATTGCGTCTTTCCTGTTGATCACGGGGCAATCCATCCGTCTCTATGCCGTCTTCAACAAGGAACCACCAGGAACGACGAGCGTCATCTACGGCAAGGCGGTGTTTTACACGACGGGCTTCATGTTTGAACTGCTTGTTGTTGCACTCTACGCCATAATGAGAGTCGACCAGCGCTTCCACATCCCCAACGGCTCGAGCGGACCCGGAGACTACTCCGGCGACAAGCACAATGGGCAGTACTCGGTCGAGGAGATTGAGCAACTTATTAGCGGCTTGGAGGTGCCGCACCAGATCATGCGTGAGAGGAAGGGACCGGAGGACATGGAGATGGTGTTTACCATCTTCTTCGCCACCAAGAAGGATGAGAAGGACATGCTCAAGGAAAAGGGGATGTCCGAGGCTTCGGATGAAACCGTGGCCGGAAGTAACATCGGCGACGCAGTTTTGCCGGAAAGACCGAAGAGGATCACCAGAAGGCAGACGCTCGTCGATGCCATCAACCCGCCGCCGCGCTCTGTCAGACAGCCATCGGTGTATCCGGACTTCGCAGATATGTACCAACAGAAGATCGGAGAAGAGTACCCACCCATGCGGCCCCAACGGCCGTCCATGTATTCACGATTCGAATCTGGACAGGGCTATGATACGCGATACCAGCGGTACTGGGGCGAATCGCCGCCGTACCCGGACCAAAAGAAGGGCATGAAAAGCATGGACTTTAAATAATGAGTCAGAGAAGCAGAGCGAAGCGTAGCATTGAAGCGAAGCAAGCGTGATTGGGAACGGAGCCGCTTGGGCGTCCGTCTGATGTATACTAGTCACTTGTCGCAGCATTTTCTGGTAACGGGCTTTCGCGCCGAACGCGACGATAAATAAAAGAATGCAAAATGATTAGAGCAGAAGCATCGCAGTATTCTGTCAAGATTGAACTGGCCGCACCATGGGAACCATTGCGGAGGTTTGGCCGAGGTCCGTTTTGGCGACGTAGCCCGCTAGATTGTACAGCTGGACAACGTACTCTTCGGCGTCGAGGTACATGGGGTAGCCCATTCCGTCAGCAATCTCGGACGCCCTTCGCAAGAGGGCAAGCCCATAGCCTCGTCGGCGATAGGCCGGGTCCGTCATGATCAGCTCAAAGTCTAGACATGCGTTGGATTAGCGTTTGCCGCTGGGTTGCCAGTGACGAGCGGGAAGTGGCAAGCGGCAAGCGGAAGGGCGCCGAGGCCGTGTTTGACATACAGACGTGAGGGTCCTTGCCCATGATGCGATGGTGCTGAGTCGCCATGTCGGTGAAGAACTCCTCGAGTTGGTCGTCCTTTTGCCCGGCGTTGGCTACGGGCCATCGTTTCCGCCACGACCAGGTTCCGTTGTCCTCGGGGCGGACGATCCAGATGAGCGAAGCGGCCACGGGCACACCTGCGTCAGGCCTGTCAGTGGTCGAGAGTGCACTAGCACAACCACGGCCGCGCAGCGGAGACTAGCGTTCGGCAGGGCGCACGGGGAGCGGGTTTCGGGCGACGAAGTGGAGTTAAGCGCGGGTTTGGCGGGGTGTCCTTACCTTGTTCGTTCCTGACGACAAACAGTCGACCCTCTTGGCCCCCGTTCTGCTTGGAGTGCATGAACTGTTTGCAGGCCTCGGTCATGTAGTCGCGGCCATACTCGTTCTGGGGGAACAGTGTCTGGAAGAAGTCACTGTTGAAGGACTTGAGAAAGATGTCGGCCACGGTAGGCGCGTCTTTCAGCCTGGCTTGCTCGACGACGACGGCGGCGGAAGCGGCTGCCATCGGGGGAACAGCACCGATGCCGTTGGGAAGGGGGATCGATGCAGGAGTGGTTTGAATACTGGTTCAGTGGTGTCAGCTAGCAGGCGATGATGGGTTGCTGAGACAGTCCGGGTATGAAAGATGGGATGAAAGCCCTGCGTAGACGAGTTGGGAGTTGGAGGTGAGGTGTCGTGGGTGTCAAGTACTCAAGGCCGGCCTAGAAATGAGACCCCGAGGCCGAGGCCGGTAGTGGATGTTACCAAAACTCCCCGCCTCCTCCCCAACTTAGGCTCGGCGGGGGTAAGAAAGCACCCGGTCAGCACTTCGTTCGATTGAGAGTAGTGGCTCGAGAGTAACCTGCATAGGCTGGCCGGCAGGCGGAGATGTTCCCCCTGGCAACATGAGGGAGGCACATGTTCCTAACGAAGGGGGAGAATTCTTCGAGATTGAAAGAGGAAGGTGTTATAGCCGTGTGAAACATCCGATCCTCTAGCGTTGCGAGTCTAAAATCTGACAAGGCAATGAACGACATCGTACCGCGGCTGTAGGCAAACAGGCTGAAATAAAACACACTGGTTGAGTAGATGTCGTTTGAGCTGCCACAACCGGCCCAAACAGCAATACGTTGCGATCCAAGTGAGCTCTCAGTCCAATCTGGCCACTGGACGTCACATCCCTCTGTAGGAGTGGCGGGATGCATCCTTTCACGACTTTGTAAGGATTGGATACTCACCCCTGCCACCATGGTACACATTGCAGCACTTGCTTGCATATGACAGGATTGCTTCTAGGCAGTCAGCTTAGATCAGACTTGAGCGAGCCCAACTCGAATAGCCATCGGTTGAGTTCACTACACTGGGAGTTGAAACCGCGGCGGTACTGATGCCCCTACCTAGTTTGAGTAGTTGGCTAAGATTCGGTCGATGCAGGGTCGGTGGATCCTTGACTCCCCCGAACCTACAGCGCTGACTGGTCGGGCTAAAGTGGTCACGTGTAACAAGATTCTCCGACGCGTTTGCGACGCGTCTCCCACCGGCAGAGCTCAATTGCATCACCTACGTCGAAACACCCGCTACCATTTGTGACGACCAACAGCAACCTGCGCTTTGGAAACCCTCAGTTGACCCGCCATACGCAAAAATTACCATGTCAGACTACGAGGATGAGATGGACGTCGACGTCCCCGTGTCCAAGGACATCATGTTCTCGTCCGACGCCAAGCAGGGCAAACGCAGCGCCGCCAACCTCCCCGTCGAAGCAGAGGACAGCCTGCCATGGTGAGCCCGCCAACAGATTCTCCCCCCTCCCCCTTAAATGCTCATAATGGCTGACGTCCCCCCAGGGTTGAAAAGTACCGCCCCGTGAGCCTCGCCGACGTGTCGGGCCACCAAGACATCCTCGCGACGATCAACAAGTTTGTCGACTCCAACCGCCTCCCCCACCTCCTCCTCTACGGGCCTCCGGGCACCGGCAAGACGTCGACGATCCTCGCTCTTGCGCGGCGCATCTACGGCGCGGACAACATGCGGCAGATGGTCCTCGAGCTCAACGCCTCGGACGACCGCGGCATCGACGTCGTGCGCGAGCAGATCAAGACGTTCGCTTCGACGAAACAAATCTTCACCCTCGGACCCTCGGCCAAGTCGGGCGGCAGCGCTGGCGGCGGCATGGCGTCGTACAAGCTCATCATCCTCGACGAGGCCGACGCCATGACCAACACGGCGCAGATGGCCCTGCGCCGCATCATGGAGAAGTACACGGTCAACACGCGCTTCTGCATCATCGCAAACTACTCGCACAAGCTCTCGCCCGCGCTGCTGTCGAGATGCACGCGCTTCCGCTTCAGCCCGCTCAAGGAGCGGGACATTAGGGTGCTGGTGGACAAAGTCATCGAGGAGGAGCACGTCAAGATTATGCCCGAGGCTACGGAGGCGCTCGTCAAGCTTAGCAAGGGCGACATGAGAAGGGCGCTCAACGTGCTCCAGGCGTGCCACGCGTCAAGTGAGTGGTCTACGGCGTTAGGCGCACACTAGATTTTGCTGACCCCGGTTCCTAGGCACACCCCTCCAACCCAAGAACGCCCCTAAGGTGGCCGAAGGCGACATCGTGAGGGAGACGATCTCAACCGAGACGATATACAACTGCATCGCGGCGCCGCAGCCCGACGCGATACAGGAGATTCTGGACGTGCTCCTCAGCACGACGGACGTGACGTCGTGCTTGACGACGATCAACACATTAAAGGTGGCCCGGGGTTTGGCGCTGGCGGACATTATCACAGCGCTGGCGGAGCAGTTGGCCACGTTGGAGGTCAAGCCGGAGATCATGATCAGGTGGCTAGACGGGCTCGCAGACATTGAGCACCGGGTCGCCGGCGGCGGCAGCGAGGCCGTGCAGACGGGGGCAGTGGTGGGCGTCATCCGAAGCGGGGCCGAGTTGATGAGCAAGTAGGCCGGGCCACCGAGGGAAGGCCACTGAGGAAGAATTACGGGGTGGAGGAACAAAAGAATAGATAATTCACGAAGTTATGATCACCCTTGTCTACCAGCCCGGTTTACTGGACAGACATGGAGGATCGCCGCCCTTCCTACCGAGTCGAATGTTTGGCAGAAGACTGGCTCCCCCCCACACACTCTTAGTGTGGGATGGTGTCGAGTCTCCAGAGGCCGGGATGAGCCGCCCGAGGTGGGTTCTAGCAGCGCCCTTACCCCGTCGTGAGACACCCGCTACCACTACCGCTGCCGCTGCCGCTGCCGCTTTCAATGACTCCCCATACCTGGCCGAGTAACGCGTAAGACGTGAGTTGGCCACGAGTCAAGACCCGAGGCAATTCCCTGACCAGCAGCTGAAACCCATACTTGCAGAGTTTACACAGACTGACGTCGACTCCGCCGAATTGAGCACGTAAGTAGAGCTACGGATAGGCCGGGTATTGGGAAGCAGAACATATCAATCGGAATGTACATAAAGTATGTACAATGTATGGTATAACAAAAATAGGCTCTTCTATCATGGACGCCCGCTCGATGCCGGACAATCCCATCAGCCAAGCAAAACCGTCTCCAGGTCAAGATTGAAACCTCTCTCCTATGCAAACGCCAAATCCATCTCCAATGTAACCTGTCTCGTAAGGTAGGTAGTACACACACAAAAAGAAAAACATGCACACATGCTTGTGGTTCTATACAATGCGAATCCGGTGTAACGCCTGGCGTCCTTGCTCTTGGAGGAATGATTGTGGGTGGTAAATTGTTTTCTCCTTCAAAAACAAATCCTAAGTCGAGGGAATCGTGATGGAAGGGTCAAATCATCAGATCACCCTCGCACCAAATATCCAAGACTTCCCCGTATGCAAGCCCTTGTCGTACCAAGACATGGAATACGGTCCCACGTGAAACATACGTCACGTCTCAAGCCTTGGATGACAGTCGTACCTGCTGCAGCCTCTTGGCGCCGCGCTTTTCGTATCCTTGTCGATTTGTTACGCTCGCTGATGAATGATGCCTAGGGGTAATGGGCGGCACTTCCGCTTCAAACATCGGGCCACTTGACGGGGCCGCATTCACCCTGCTTCTCGATCCAGGCGTTGATCTTTTCAACGGCCCAGCCGGATATGACGCGCTTCTCGTCATTGGATGCGCGTTTGACCGGGTGGCCGAGCTTCCACGACCAGGAGAAACTGCAGACGCCGTCCTTATATTGGAAGGAGAAGCACGACTTGTCAGCCTCGCAAGCCGTGCGGCATTGCTCGAAGGATAGATGCGCCTCCTTTTCTTCCGGTGTGAGATCCTCCGTCTTGGCGCGGCCGAGTTGCCAGTCCTGGTGTTTGTTGGCAGACTCGTCAAGGTAGAATCGGTCGTCAGCGAGGTTGTCCCAATCTTCGCGCTTCGGTTGCATACGGGGCTTGAAGAACTCGTTGTAGATGTCCTTGATGCGCATAGCGGGAGGTGGCTGCGGCAAGTTCGGGTCGGCGTAGCGCTTGTGCTCATATTCCCAAAAGGTGGAGATCTCCTCGGCGTTCATGTGGTGCATCGTCACGATGGGGTGGCACCAGTGCGTCGGGCCGTACGGGAGGGTGAAGGGCTTCTCGCCGTTGATCGTCGGCCACTGCGCAACGTCAGTGAGATTTCCAAAAGTCCAACCAAGGCGAACTGCCAACTTACCACATTATGCACATCGACATCGGCGTTGTCCTTCATAGCCAGCGCAAAGATGTAGTCGCCGCAGCACTCCTTACTGGCGCGAAGATCCCACTGGTTGCCGACGTTCTTGTGGCCGGCAATCATGTCGTGCATGGCGGCCTGGGAGACGATGTAGCCACTTCCACCATGGCCGAAGATGAAGTTGCGGATCATGGTGACGCTGCCCAGGTAGTGCTTGTTCTTGGGGTTGAGGTTCTTGAGCCACTGAACGAGGGTGGGCCAGAGGACGTAGGTGTCGGCGTCAATGTAGACGTACCAGTCGTAGTTGGGACGCATGTTGTATGTCTTCTCGGCGATGTGGACGTTCTTGTACTTGTCGAGATTCCAGCCCTCGTCCTTGCTCTCGGCTAGCTTGTTGCAGCTTTGTTGATCGGCTTGGCAGGCCTTCTGGCGGCGGTAGAGGTCGAAGTCCCTGTTGCCCTCCATGGCTTCGGGGAGAACACCGTCGAGGCTGTCGCGGATGTGGTAGTTCGCGATGGTCTGATCGAGGTCGGAGAAGATGAAGTACTCGGGCAGGCACTTGAGCATGGTCATGAGCTGGGTAGGCACCTTATCGAAGGACTCAGTCGCGCCCGTCTTCATGATGACAAGAATGTTGCTCGTGTCAGGGAAGTTGTCGCAGAGGGGGTCGTGAGGACGGTAGGGAATGTCTTGGTTCGACACGTTTTGCTGAGCGAGGCGATCATCTTCGTAGCTTGGAGGCGGCGGTGCTTGAGGACGGCCGCTGCCACTGGGGCTGGCGCTGGGGGAGCTTCCCGGAGGAGTCGGGGGGCCGTGGCCCTTGAAAGGGTGGTAGTTGGGGCCCTCAATGGTCCAGTCGCCGCCAAGTCTCCTCGAGGAGATGAGGAAGATGACGGCGGTGACGGAGGCGAGGGCGAGAAAGGTAAGGACGCGGCGGGATAGCATATTGACAGCGACTATCGGGTTTACACAAACGTCACGCCGTCTTCGACTCAATCCCATGACAGCATGCGCCGCCAGTGGTGGTAAGAGGGTGCTGATGAGGTCAGCGTCGGAAGCGACGGGCTTGAGTGACGGGGAAGCAAAAGGCAAGTCAGTTGACCGTTCGATCGCAGTATTCGCCGGTCAAGGAGGGAGGCGGCAAGGTCAGTGATCGCCGGTCGCGATGGCCTTGGATCACGTATCGTCGTCTTGGTGGGATGAGGGGGAGGTTTCGAAAAGAAATGGCTGAGGGAAGGAAAAAGAAGAACAGAATAGCCAAAACAGCAGTTAACGAATAGACGGAGAAAGAGTGAATAGGGTACCCTGTGTAAAGAAGTTTAAGCCACGGGTCCAAAAGTCAAAATGACGGTGGGAGGGGAGGGAAAGGAGAGGTAGAGCTGGAGGATGAGGCGGGCCGTCGCATGAGAGAAGAGAACGTGCAGCCCTCAGTAAGAACGTACCAGTCATACAGATACAGTGCGATGGCGTCGCAATCGGCAGCAAGCTAGGTACCTAGGCAAGCTGGACCCCTGATTGTTATGGCGAGACAAGGCGAGGAGACTTGCGGCGCACCTTTTTTGACGGTGGTCGAGGTACCTGGAAGCCCTTGGGGCGAGCGAAATATGTGCTAAGCAAGAGTCGACAGGATGGAAATGATGGCAACGGACCCAAGAGGCGGGATGGTTGATGGATGGCGTGGGGAGCCAAGGTTGTCGCAACAGAGACACTGGACGCCACTGATTGGAAAGGGACCGGCAGGGACGGGCGTCAGGGAACCAGGGAACCAGGGGTAAGGCAGAAGAGCCACAACGGCGCATTGCGATTGACTGGGCATGTCTCTGCCTGTCTTTGATCCTTTTGCTTTTTGTATTTTTTAGCTTTAGTTCATCTGCGACTGGGTTCCATCTCGATACGGCAGATATGCGCATCCATCCACCTTAGCCGGTTGCCAGCCCGCCGCTAAGGTACTAGTGAAAAAAAAGCAGGGCCGAGACGAGACGTGGCCGATGATGGGCTGAGCATTCACCAACTGCTGGATACGAAGGAGGCGAAGGAACGAACACCTTGGTCCAATGTTCATCCCATCCTCCAGGAAAGAATGGGGTCGGCAGGTTTTGTGGGATCGACTTGCCGTGGGGATTCGGGGGAGGATGGAATGCTACACTACTACTTGGGGGGATCTCAGGCTGGCTTATTTTGACGAGTAGAAGAGTTGAACAAAGCAGCGCAGCAGTTGATTGACCAGAGTCGCAGGAGGCCGTCACCTCAAGGTTGGCAAGCCCCCACCAAGTCTGTTCGAGGTAGAGGAGCTGGTCGAACTCTGTTACTTTCTTCCATTGTAGGGACAAATAGGTAGGTAATATCATGGAGAGCAGGGGCCAAATGGTGTGGGTTGCTTTTTCTGCTAGGTGGCCGTCCCGATGAAATGGGCCTTGGTTGACTTTGGGCGAAACCGGTACGTACCGTACTTCGGCGCGATGCGTACTATGTACAGTAGTGTACAGGTAAATGGGAGGTGTGGGCTTGGTGGGGTTTGCAACTTCCACACACATTGGGCGGACAGCGCAACAAGGGAAGGCACCTGTGCCGTAGGCCTGGGACTTTCGAGTCGGAGGCAGGAGCAAGATGCCTGACCCGTGCGGGTTTTCTGGGCCTTTGCCTTTTTCGATATTCTAAGGACTGCAACCACGCAGGGGTGGTGCTGCTTGTGTTCGATATGTAGCGTTTGTTTGGTGATCAACGTAAAAGACTGGCTCGCTTACGGTCCGTCGGCTAGCGAACGCGAGAGAGAGAGAGAGAGAGAGGGGGGGGGGACTGGAAAAGACCTTCCCTACCCAACGAGGACACTCGAGATGCGCGCGAAATGCCAAACAGTATAGGTACTACCGATAGACCGAAACTACACTCCCCTCTTTCTCCCTTTTATTTCTCCTTTGAGCGGTAGCTACCGGGCAGCACACAGGAGCGCTGCGCTCGTCTTCCTAAGTGCCTTACACTTTGCATCAATCAACTACCTTACTTCGAACACTGTGCAGTTCCTGCCAAGAACGCAGGCAAACAGCTCGGCGAATCAGTGGCCTTGCATCAACGGAGTCCCGCTTCGCGAAGAGGATGCTCAGCTGCGCCGTACGAGACGCGCATGGAACCCGCAATCCCCGACTGTGCTGGGCTGCTGCCGCGCTCCTGCATCTGATGAACCTGTGGATTGGCGTTGCCTTTGGCATCGATCGCCCCGGGCTGTCTTGGGTGAGACTCGCTCTTGGACGTTCCGCTATGTGCTGCTGTGTGTGTTGCACCTCCATGCTTTTCTGTCATTGTTTGTTGCTCGTTGCCGTTGGCCCACGGCCCCCTTTGTCCAGATCGCCTTGTCGTCATAAACACCGTCCGCCGCCGCCGGCGCGTCCAAAGGGCTCCGTTAGCCTAGCGGGACGTGGCCATGCCGCTCATGGATCTGCGATTCTACGCTACCGCAGTAGTCTGTCGCTGCCCCTGACTGTAACACTCCTGCCATCCGTTCCCTGTTTGTCGTTTGTCGTTTATAGCTAGCTAGTCGACATCTGACGTCGCAAGCTTGACAAAGGCTGCTCTCGAGACACATGTCGCAGGGCTACGTACCGCGAATAAAGAAACCCAAGAAAATGCCTAGAAACCCCCGTCGAGAAATCCCGAGTCAAAGTCAAGCTTTTGTTTGGCTTTGGCTCACGCTGTTATTCTGTCGGCTCCTTCTTGCTGCGCTTGCTTCACCCCACTCGGCTCACTCGGCTCGCCCACTCAGACTCAGTGCCTGCTTTGCTCGAGTCGGGCTACCGCTATGGGTTCTTATTAAGCAAACTCCCGGGAGCGGCATAGATATGCGCACTCCAGCGCTTTGCCGCCCAGCTTTACTCCACCAAGACGCATCCTCGAGAGTTTACAATCAAGTAACTCAATCATAGTCATTTATCCACCCGTCATTACTCTGTAAAGTGTAGAGTGCCAACAGGGACACTAGCGACAGCGTCAGAGCCGCTGTCTTTTTTGATCCTGCAGAACAACTCAACAACGTGTTTCACATGCTTCTCATGGAGTCTGGTTTGCCTCACTACTTCAAACCTCCAAAGACACGCCTTGTTTCTCATAGCCACGCCATATTCGCTCCCTATCGAACCAAGACTAGAGCAATGAAAGACCAGCCATCCCTCTGGCGCTCTTCATCTCAGGACGTTCCCTCACGTCCGCCAGCATGCCTACTTCGCGCCATCCAATTCGAACCCCGCCACCAGTCCAGCATCACGCCCCCTTGATCCTCGCCGTGGCCCGCCCTCTGCCGGCTTCTACTACCCCCACGTCAATTCACCACATTGAAGTCCAATCGCCGCTGCATGCTTCCCTGCATTGAATCCCCTCGCAATATCATCTGTCGGTCTGAACAATTTGTTCGTAACAGCATGAGCCTATGGTCAGCCTGTCGCGAGCCAAGAATGCCACGTGTTGTTACGTTCGTGTTCTGAACATGATTAACGCTCACCCATCTTGGCCCTGGCTGCATCAAATGGCTTGCCATACCAACTGCTCGAGGGTAGTAAAGTAAGTCTCGTCACAACTGAGCGCTAGCTTCCATCACAACCCTCGGTCTTTCCCAACCCTCCAGGCTACCCACTCACGATTCCTTACACGCTTCGGAACCCTTCTGGTTCATGAACGGACTGACAGGAGTCGGACGCCTAGACCATTCGGAATTGCACCAGATACAACTCTCAGTTATGACGCTTCATCAACAACCCGCTGTCTGCCAGGCAGGCTCATGTGCTAGCACAAACCAGCTCTATCGAAGTGACTTGAGCTGCCCACGTTGACCATGACACGGTTTAACAGCTTGCACTTAATCTCTCGAAACCGGTTCGTAACTCGGAATCAACGACCCTTGAAAAATCATGCCGTCAATCTCTCCCTACAAACTATAAAACGGAACCCACTGACGATGTGTCTTCTGTCTGGGTAAGTGGTGTGACGTGACTTCAGTACGGCTCAGTCTTCGGAATGACAGTGTTTTAAGGGAACAATACCTGCATCAGGTTTTGCTCGAATGTCTACATGCTCTGCCCTTTCGGCTTACTTGGACTTAGCTTGCTGTGCGGTGGCCTATAGTAGTTGACAAAACTATACTCGGCTGTCCGCATATTTACCGTCAGCATTTATAAGGGCCAGCTATAGAATAGTTAAGGAATCATCTTCCCGTAATGGATATAGTCGAAAAACCAAGCAAAGGTATACACTTGCAAGGGCTCTTGTTCAAGCACATCATGTCTGTCAACGAGCAGTCCAAGGCCCTGGGCTCAACACATCTGCTTCAATCTTGTTGGTAGCGTGGTTGCCAGACAGTTTTACAATACCGACATCCGCCTCTAGATTTCAATGGAGGACGTTTTGGACCTCTGGTGATTCTCAAAGACTATGACTCGGCGTGTTGGCCTTTCAAGTTAACGCGAGTAGACACCCTTTACAGAAGCTTCTCTCAGTAATGAATGCCGTTCGTGTTAGTGCCATATTGGCTTGATAGAGTTTGCGGCAAAGGGTTTCTTAGTCCTCGCCCCGAATCTCCTTGCTCAGGGGGGCTTGTCTCGTCCAGATGTTCATCCCAACCTTCTCCCCGCCCGTTACCGGCAGCCCAGCGTGCAGATTCCGCTGGTCCCCGGAGCCGTCGATATGCAGGTTCTCCCAATACACGAAGTTGCCCTCTATCGGACGAAACGTAACGCCGTTCTCCCAAGGTTCGTCGCAATCAATGAACTCGCACCACCGATCGTCGTGCGGCGCGTCGAGCAGAGGGAAGTTGGTCCCTCCACCGGTGACGTTAACCGCCGAAATATAACCAAAGAACGACGACAGGCGATTGCCGCCGAGATGAGCCTTGGTGTGGGCCGGATCGGTGAACCAGTCGGTATGGAAGTGGTAGCGCTCGCCTTTGCCGTACTTGACCAGCTGGAGTGGTTCCAGGTGGCCCTTAGGTATGCTGTAGCCTTGAAAGGCCAGGGCGCGGTCCTCAATGCAGCGAACCACGTCGTCCCGCCAGAGACTGGTACTCTGAGACGTGCGCACGTTGTGTGTGGTTTTGCCACCCGATGCATCAATGACGCCCGAGTGAGTAAAAGTCCCGCTGCTGGTAGTTTGTGAGCCGAGGTGCTCTCCGGAACCGTGGCAACGCGACTCACCCCATGTCTAAGAGGTGGTTTCTCTCCGCCGATGTCAGAAAGTCGGCAAGGTAAATAACCAAAGGCGACTTCGAAACCACATGCACTTTGTAGGGTGGGTGTGTGCATATATAGTTGGCCATCGGCTTCTGGTTTTGTGCTGCTGTTGGCACTATCATGATTGCCGCAAGGGCCCAGGTTGCTGCCGTAAGGAACCCCATCTTACGGCCGTGCAGACCTTGAAGCTGAGTTGCTGGTAGAAGGAAAAGAACCTTATGCCTTGATCAGGCCTTGGGAGATGCTGGACTTTTGAACTTTTCCACGATAAAATGCCTAAATGAATGGAGGCCCCGCTTGGAAGTTGGTGAAACCCAATGCGTTTGAACCGAGAGTCGGCAACCCTCGATGGTTCTTCGCTTGGAGCGCTGTGGCGCCTGCTTCAGGGGCTTCCTCGTCTGATCTGCGTGGCTTCAGACGTGGACAAAAGCCTGTAATGGCGTGTTGGGCCCAGCTTTGCTAGGTCTTCACCCCAAGCAACGGCTCCATGCTGACTCCACGAGGCTCTTTCTCAACGACTTCATCAGTGTAGGCGTCTGTAATCTCTCCTATTGGTTGTGGAATTTAATATCGTAATGGCTGGGTGATAAATTGCGGGACTCATCGATGGCTTCGAATGATTTACATGGAAACTGCCTTCTTCTGTGATATTTTCGAACCCGACAGAGGTTACGCCTCGTCGGGACAAAAAGACCAAATACGCAGCCAGGGCTTCTGCTCTGACCCTCCAGTTCCTGTGTGCAAGATTTTGGCGGCACTATCAATCCAACGACTCGATTGCACGAACGGAGATGTACGCAGTAGGCATCCATACGCAAATATCCCCCAAAACAGGGCCAGACTCAGGGATCGTATGGCCCGGTTGCCCTACGTCCAGTGAGTAATTCGGCATCGCCAGACTCTGTGACCAAATAAATGTCTTCATGCCTGACTCCAAACCGATTCTCCAGGTAGATCCCGGGCTCATTTGTAAACGTCATTCCAGGCTGAAGCAAAATGTCCTTGTTCCACTTGTTCAAGTATGGCGATTCATGGGCTGCTTCAGGTTAACCTTCAATATCTCAGTAAGTTATGCCAGAAAGGAACAAATACCTTTGATACCGATTCCATGGCCCAGGCGGTGCGTGAAACCGTAACCGTATCCCGCATCTTCAATGACTTTTCGAGCTGCGATGTCAACACTCGCTGCGGTATTGTTCGGCTTGAAGGCTGCGGCGGCGGCAGACTGAGCATCCAAGACAATGTCCCAGACTTTAAACTTTTCAGCGCGCAGCTCAGGGTCAGTATGGAGCACCTCCTGCTCGCCCGAGACCTTCCCGAACAGCTGCAGGATGAAGCCCATGGCGGTGGGACTATGCGACTTTGGTGGATCGATGAAGAAGCTGCGGCAGATATCCGAGCTGTAGCCCAGGTAATGAGCGCCTACGTCGATAACAACCATGCTCTCGGGGGTCAACTTCTTCCATCCGGTGACGAAACCACCGTGGGGAAGCGCGCCGTGCTCTTCGAACAGCACAATGTTGAAGAAAAGCCCAAAATTGATGGAGAGCAGTGCCGTGTTCAAGATCTCGGTTACTTCATTCTCCGTAAGACCAGGAACCAGACACGGCCGCATAGCTCTCACAGCAACAACGGTACCGGTGTTCACGACACGGAGAAGCTCTACTTCTGCTGGGCTTTTCTGCTGTCTAACGAGCTCGACTTCGGGGTTAAGCCCAACGGTCTCGAAGCCGGCAGAATCTAATCCACGGACAATGAAGTCTCGGATCTCTTCATCAACCATGAGCTTTGCGGACTGGCCATTGAAGAGGCGCGACTTAAGCAAGGTGTCGTATGGGTTCCAATGCTCTTCCCAGATGACGATATCGAGTTCGTCCTCTTGCGAGGGGATTCCTAGCATCCGGACTCGGCCTTCTTCAAAATGAGGCGATAGAAACGCCGTCTTGGCACTGACCTTACCAGAGGAAGAGATCTGAGGCAGAACAAGCATCAGGAACGGCCTCTCCTCGGGCTCCCAAGGCTCCCAGTCAGTCTGTGAGATGTTGCCATAATATCTTGCTAGATGTTAAAAGGCTACCCATTGCATCATGGACACATTCTCCAAACTCACTGGAAAGTATAACCGGGCTCCAAAACAAAAGCGTCCACATTCGACGCAGCCAAGGCGCGAGCGAGCCGATCTCTACGCTCAAGAAACTCTTCCGCGGTAATGGGTACAGCGGGGTCTAGAAAGGAAAGATCGGAGTGCAGGTTGTCAATGGCGCACTCCTGAGCCTTTTCATAGGCATTGCCTGGTGAAATTCGGTCGTAGAAGGAGTTGAGAAAGTAGAAGGAGGTGACAGCATAGAGCAGAAATGAGGTTGCAATAAGCTGTAGGACGCGAGCGCGACGTCTGACGTGAAGCTGGTGTGGCGAGGAAGACACGCCCTCAGGGCGCATCTCTGCTTTTGCCATGTTGTTCGTGATTTCGAGTTGTCTGCAAAGGCCGGCAACCAACGTCTTGAAGGCTTGTACTCTTTCGGGGTTGTTGAAAACAGGGTGAAGAGGCAACAAGGGATGCACTACCGAGAAGAGGCAGGCAGTCGGAGGCTTTCCGACCTCGCCCTGAACCCCTCCCCGGGGTGCAGTGAATGAGGGTCTATTCCCGGATTGGGGAACTTTCTCCACGCAAGTCGCACCAGCACCGCAGGAGTTGCAGCAGGTACAAGCGCCCATTTCGCATTCGCGACATGGGTGCTGATAGCGCTGGTCGCTTTTCCGCCGGCTTCTAGCGCCGGTCCGGAGAAGATAGGAAGATAGCCCCGTCACAGGCCGACATGACAGCGCCGATTGATCGGGATGCCTGAGCCAAGTGTTGTACTGGGAGATGCTCCCCCCGGATAAGAAAGGGAATTGGTCCACCGTTCAGGTGCGGAGTTGGTTTTTGTTTCCTTCTCGCTATTTATTACATTGCATTTGAGGCTCATGTAAGGCGACAACGGACGATGGCTTCGACACAAGATGTCAATATGGCAGTCGCCACACAGAATCCTGTTACTGAGGACGACAACATTGTCAGTGATGAAAAGAAGGCCATGGATATTATTTCCAAGGAGGGGGCGGTAGCCGCCGTTAAAGAAGAACCGCAAAAGACATATTACAGCAGTCTCTCCGTATGGCTGATGGTCCTGTTTTCCGGGCTTGCCATCGGGTCTGATGGCTAGTATGGCCGCACTCACCCAACATGCATTCTAAATGGGTGCATGCCATCTTTCACGGTGTTGCTGACAGCTTTCTAGCAATGCCGCCGTAATTGGCAACGTCGAACTGCTACTCGCCATCCTTTACCCGGACGATCTGACGACCAGCATTTACCAGAGACTTTCCAACGCTTTCCTCATTGGCATGATTATTGGTATGGTTCTCTTCGGCGTTATCAGCGATCAGCTTGGGCGCAAGACTGGTGCCATTGCTACGACAATCTTGCTGGTGCTTGGTATCACTTTGTCAACCGCAGCAAACGGAACCACCCCCACCGGCATGTTCTGGATGCTCATTATTGCTCGCGGTATCGCTGGGGTTGGCGCGGGAGGAGAATATCCAGTGTCTGGCGCTGGCGCAGCCGAGGCTACCGACGAAGATGCCAAGTTTCGCAAGAGGCGAGGTTTTATGTTTGCTATGCTCGCGGATTTGTCGGCTAGTCTGGGATACGTTTGGGGAGGGTTGGTGCCGTTGCTTTTGCTCCTTTGCGTAGGCCAGCAAGTCTCAAAGTACCACATCGTCTGGCGAACCTCGTTTGCGTTGGGCATGGCGCCTCCTCTGCTTATCTTTTGGTTCAGAATGCGCATGGCAGTCTCCACAGCTTATCGCAAGTCTGCGATGCGGAAACAAAAGATGCCGTATTGGTTGGCGTTGAAGAGATATTGGCGGCCACTGCTAGGCGCAGCTTCAACTTGGTTTCTGTACAACTGGATCAGCATCCCTTTTGGAATATTCAGCTCCACCATCATCTCAAGGGCCAATGTCGAAGATAGTCTTGTCAAGACGCTTGGATGGGGTGTTGTGATCAACTGCTTTTACATCCCTGGCCCCTTTATCGGGGGCTATCTCTCTGACAAAATCGGCAGACGTCAAACAATGGCTCTCGGTTTCACTCTGCAGGCAATCCTAGGCTTCGTTCTTGGCGGTGCGATGAACCCCATTCAAGGCGTTTTCCCTTTGTTCGTCGTTCTCTACGGCATCTTCCTGACACTTGGCGAAGTCGGGCCTGGAAGGTATGTTGAACATCATTGAGTAAAGTCAAGAATGATCTCTAAAATCAGCTTTAGTACCGTTGTTCTCATTGCCTCTGAGTGCTTTCCGACATCCATTCGTGGCCAGATGATGGGCCTCATCTCCGCCTTCTCAAAAGCAGGAGCCGCTATTGGAACACAGGTATAAACGATTCCATCAGTATTGATACAGATTGATCTGACCAGAAGAAAGGTTTTCACCGCGATTCTTAATAAGTACACCGCAGATCCCTCAAAGGGGAACCAAGTAGCCTTTCTTATTGGATCTGGGTTCGCCGTTTTGGGAGCTATCATCGCGATGTTTGTCATCCCAGACATATCCAGGCATCTAAATGACGACGACGAAGCTTGGAAGAAGTACCTTGCAGACAATGGCTGGGACGCGCAATGGGGTGATGAGGTTACCCGTGATCCATCTGGGGTAGTGATGAACAAAGCAGCATCTTGATCAAGATTATGAAAGATTGTCTTCAGGAAGCTCTTGGCAGACTCTTGGGTGTAGTCTACTTTTCCCCTTCAAAAGCAACAACAACAAAAATTTCACTACGACCGATGGCTTGAGAAGCGTACCTTGGAGTACAAAGTATCGACAACTGCCAATAGCGTACATCCCAAGACCAGAGTTTTAGCAAGTGTGCCAAATCGTTGACAACCGTTGGTGGGATGGCTGCAATGGCCCTAGTTTCAGTGCATGTGATTCCTGCCACGTTGACTCACCCTGCATTGACTGAATTTTCATGACGCTATAGAGTCTACAATTCATTCAGAGTGTACCCGAGGGCCAGTTGCCACAATAATCAGCCGCGCTTGTAGTCGTGATACTAGGCATCTGCCAGCGACAAGAAGTTGCTTTATTGATCGGCCTCTCCCCTTAACTATCGCAATGTAGCCTCTTGCTTGATAAGAGATGTATCAGATCTCTACATAACACATCTAAGCCGTTCTTGCCCCACTAACTACAGTCGCAGTTCCAAAACTGCCTTCATTGTATAAGAATGTGTGACAACGTTACCGATGCCCCAGACCCTCGTGCCCATCCCCCGGGAACCTTTACTCAGTCGCTGGGCAATGATCGTAGTATCCATCAGCATTGTTGCCCCACCAAGTGGGGAAAGGAATGGATGGACCGCCAGCTCCAAAGACAGCAAATGACAGAATGAAAAGAACCGTGAGACTAGCGCCGTCAAACGCACCGGTGATGAGGTACGAGTAGTCTTTGAAGATGCGGGGGCGATAGTTGCGGAGGTAGAATTGGACAAAGAAGCCACTAATAACCTGGCTGAAGATGACGCATGTTTGAGAGGCGTTGTAAGGGATGTAGCCGGCATACTGGATGAGCTGAGGCATGTTGAGCTCTGACAGAGAGTGGCCTCGGATCTTGGGAACGAACTGATGTCACGGTCAGTAGCGGTAACAGTGTGGCAAGAAACTGATTTGACTCACGTATGCGATAACACGATGGACGACGACAATGCCGAAACCAACGCCCAAGCCAATTGGGACAAGCGAGTATTTGCCGCCAGTCTTGTAGAGGTACTTGGCAAGCGCCCAAGAGGTGGCATTGGTGTTGTACGACTGCATAGTTGCGCCGCTCCAAGAGCTGTTACCGTCGCTGTCCACGAGGAGCTCACGATTTCCATTCACAATGGAAATCATGACAACGTAATTGATAAAGCCACCCAGAATGGTACCGTAAATCTGGGTGAGGAACATGACTCTGGGAGGGATCTTGACTAGTTGGCTGTCAGCAAGACGGAAGGGAATTGTCTTTGCAAGGGGACTGGACGTACGATATTCACCCATCTTCAGGTCGTTGGAAAGATTAACAGCATTCGAAATGACATTGTGCGACCAAGCAGCAAAATACATGTTACCAATGGGCCGCTCAGGAAGGATGAGACCTGCCAGCATTTTCGATAAGTTGTTCGTAGCAATTCCATTGCCAAAACGAGAATAGAGAATCGTGCTCTGATTCAGTGTCAGATAATTCATTGGAAAAAAAGGTGGACATGTCGTTAATAACTTACCAACGGAGCAATGAAGATACCAAGCAGAAGTGAGACAACGTATGCCCATGCAGGAAGCGTGACGTTTTGGGTGCAGACAACGACAAGACCGAGGACAAAGCTGGCGACAAGCACAACCACATACCACCACCACGGCGTCTCCTTGTAGTGTTTCGTCATGTGGCTATGATGACGGTCGTCATATCTTCCGCTTTTTGCACTTTGATAAGCCCGCTTCACGTCTCCGCCCCAGAATAAGAAGCAGTGGGCTACCAAGGCACCAATCTGATTGCTGGTCAGTCTACGATGATTTGAACTCATCCATGATTTTTAGACTTACAGCAGCATTCGCCATAAACATTGCGTACGCGAAACTTCCTGTAAGCCTAGGAATGCCGTACTTGGCAAGGGCCTCCTGGTTGAGGATGCCGCCAGTGAACACTTTGGCAATGGGGTATGTCGAACCATCCTCAGATCGCAGCCGCGTCGACATGAAGGGTTGGGACTTTGCATCCCAGGCATTGGTGTAGTAAATACCAATCATAGCAAGGAAGCAAATAAAAAACCCGATCGCGGAATGAGCTTGTAACGTAAGGGGAAGAGACGTATTGAACGAAGTGATCTATAGATTGTTCTTGTTAGTTATGCACTTGAACACTTCTACCGAAAGATCGACCAACTCACGTATTGCCAATCAAAGGAAAGAGTAAATAACCCCAACCCTTCGTTGTTGATCGAACCTCCGAAAAGGTTGGTGAGAACCGCGGCCTTGCTACCCGTGGCATTCATCGCGGCCAAACAGGGGATCGAAACCGAGTTCAGCCAGGGGAAAATGTATGCAGGGAAGAACTCGTAAACAAACATTCCAACAAAACTGTACCAGAACCATCGTAGAGGCTTAGAGTTCTTCAAATCTTGCCAGTGAAGTCCTTGGAGAGTCTTGACCGTGGGAAGAGTACTCCAATACACTGCATCAACATGCCAGACAGCGATGGGGCGCATGATACCGCAAATGCCATAGCCAAATAAACCGATTGAGATCACAGCCAAAATGACTGTTGTCGCGCTCAGAGGCAAGTCGTAAAAGAGGTCTTGCGCCGCAAACACTTGGACACTAGCGGAAGCGTTGGAGGCGGAAGTGGCAGTAATGGAGCAAATCGCATGCTCTTTCAGACCCCAGGGCCCAGGGTTGATGAACTTGAAAAATTTGATCCATGCGGGAAGATCGCCTTGGCCGTTTTTCTCTCTCCAACGAGCCTCGAGTTTGTCGCCGCGAGGAAACAACTTAGCCCATGCCTTGCCAGCGAAATATCCAATGAGGACGATGAAGGTTCCAGAAATAGTGACGGCGGTGGGTTTGAACTTGACGATCAACCATATTAGTATTTATTGTTGCTCTGAAAAGACGACCTCCCGGGCGCTGCTGGCTCACCGTGTAAATTTGGCTCATGACGGCTTGGAAAGCCGAGAGACAGGTTGCCAAGAACATGCTCCGAAAGGTCAAGGAGGGATCAAAATCGTCTCGTAGCGGCAACAAGTAGCGGGCAGCATCGGCACCGGTGATAATGATGGCATTGTCGCTATTATCGTCCTTTTCGTGGTTACCTCCGTCAGATGGCAACGAAGCTGGAACATCCTGGATCTCGGAAGCCAGCTCTTTGCCAATACCTGCTTCGTCGATGCTGACCTTCTCGTTGATGGCATTGTGGGAAGGGATTGTAACGACTTTGCCCTCGACTGGGTTTAGTCCCCCCACCACAATGGCTTCGGCAGCGGGAGTCGTCATGTTGCTTCAACGAGCGCGCAGACTGGGTCAGGCTGAAGACAGAACCAGAGACGTCTGTCGGTTGCGGGTGCTTGATCAAGATTCTCGCGTAGAAGGCCTACCTGTGTTCCAGCACATCAATATCGCGGCGGGATCCGTGGCCTCTTTGTACCAACGACCTTTCGCTCTGCTGGTAGCCAACCCCTGTTCACATTTCGGCGCAGGTGAACGCCCGATATGGAAGATGCTGCTACAAGATAAGGGGGCCGGATGTCGTGATAAGGGACGGCAGTTGTGCAATCGGAGGTCTAGAAGTTGTAATCGCAAATTGTTCGTTGAGTGTACCGTTTCCCGGGGGTCGGATGGCCGTGAGCCAGGATCCTCTCGCGAGCCCGGTTCACCAAGAGACCCCTCCACATCCAGTGCTACGGAATTTTAGGAAGGTCTTTATGCAAGTGGCGATTGGTGTGATAGGGGACCCCTGGCCAACAAGACCATATTGAAGATGGCTTCGTGACTTCACAAGTATTGACAACGAGCAGAAAGGGCAAATCATCCGGCTTTTTCGGCTCAATTCATCCGCGGTGGTGTCACAAGCAACGCCCAGGCGGGAAAGTCGTGTGTTAAGCTTTGCCAAGTCATGGCCGAGTCCTTTCGTCGACAGTGAATGGTATCGGCAAGCTATCCCCAATCGACTCGAGTGATCCCATTCCTCGGAATTGCGACACCCACCCCAGGGGGCCGCACAACAAGCTTGGGATGCTCATTTGTTGCGTTTGGGTGGGGGTGGGTCATAGTCCGCCCACGCGCTCGCACTTTTGTTCTTGACGTGCTCACCCATTCGAACTTTTGTTGTCGACGTGCTCGACTGCACTTTTGTTGATGTACTAGTGCGGCGTAAAGCCTTCCTATCTTATCTGACCTCGCAGAGTATTATTGAATTTTCCAATTGGACAACCTACTTTCCTACCTCCTTATCTGCTTTAGTTGAGGTGACCGGTTGCTTTGGAATACATCGAAAGCTTCTAGCGGGACACGAAGGTTTTACCGGGAATCTCAGCCGACATGTGACTACCTTGTAATGGTTGTGGCACAAGTGGACCTGACAGATTGATATGGCTAAATTAAATCCTGCGAGGGTCATAGTGATGAGAAATTTGGCTTGTTTGGTAACTCCAGCTAAGCGCGCTAACCGAATCACAATCATGTGCAGAAAAGCATTTCCCCCATCATGAGGATCTTGAATTTGTGGCAAAGCCTTTTACTTCAGAGACGTGCACTTTACGCAAAGGCTTCAAAGAAGACTAAAAAGGAGTTAAAAGGAGTGGCCAGGAAGTGGATAAACAGTCAACTTGCAGACTGTAATCTCTTGATGTTCAGGTTTGGAAATTCTTCCCTTAATTTTTAGCGCCGTTACCCCCGCAGCTGGTGGTAGAAAAGTTAGCCCCACCAGGCATACCTATCCTGGCAAGGACATCGAAGAAACCTATAACCCGCGTCTTGGATAGGCCTTTTCAACAAAAGCAACACGAAGAAGAAGAAGAAGAAGAAGAAGAGTTTTTTCTGTTACCTGTAAGCAATTGGCCTCTATGCGTAGGATCAGCCTTCCAGTTCGGCCTGGTAGAATATCCTAGCTTCTGCACAATGACAGAAGCTGATAGTGATTGCCACATTTACCGACAATAGTCGCTCACACCAATAGGATACTGTCGCGATGCCCTCACGCGCATCGCGCAGCCTTGTGAGATTTGCGCCAGGCCTGGATTAACTATTAGTCCGGTCCCTTCATGTAGATCCACTACACAAGATACGTATTTATTTATTTTAAATAAAACAATCCTACATATAGAAATCTAAGCCGTTTTTCCTTATATCTTTTTTACCCTAAGTAGTAACTTTATAATAGTTATAAGCTTAGCTTATATTATACCCTTAAACTATTATATTTAAAGTATACTATAAGCTAAAAAATCTCTCTTAAATAAATTATTTTTATTTTCTTAAACTAATATTTCTAATATATTTATTTTTATTAAAGCTATAAAGAAGCTTAAAACATAAAGTAATTAGCCTTTATAATATATAACTTTTTAGCTTAAAATAAAATTAAAATATATTTAGGAATTTATTAACTTAAATAGACTTAAAAAAAAAATAAACTTAAATATTTTAATAAGATCTTAAATACCTTAAAGATTTTTACTTTTAATAAATTTATTATTAATATAAATCTTAAATAAACTAATAATAAACCCTTTTTAATAATAGCTAATTTAAATATTAAAGTTATATACTAAATATATATTTTAAATATTAATATAAAAAAGGTTATTTAAAAATAATAAAAAAAAGTATTTAATATAATTAATATATAAATAAAAATATTAATTACTAAATTACTTTTTAAGCTAACTTAAATAAAAGCTTTAATATAAAACTAAATAATATTTTACTTAATACTTAAGATCTTTAAGTAATAATATATACTAAATAACTTATTTAACTAAACTATTATTTAAAAAAAATATTTAGCTTTATTAAATTAAGTAGCTTTAAGTATTAATTTATTTATTTAGTTAATAAAATAATAAAATTTTTATTTTTATATAAAAATCCTAGACCTATTAAAAGTCTAAAGTATTTTTATTTTAAGAACCTTTTTAAGAGTAGTATTATATAAAATTACTTTATTTTAAGTAACTTATAAACTTATAGAAATTATTTAAAATAAGATAATAAGCCTTTTAATTAAAAACTTAAATAATTATATAATAATTTTAACTAGTATTTTATAAAAAGACTTATTAGTAATAAAGTATTATAAAAAAGGACTTAGTATTTATATAACCTTAGTAAATTATTTTATTATATTAACTAAAAATAATATATATTACTTTTTACTAAAGAACTTAAATAAAATATATATTTATAGCTACTTATATTATTAGCTTCTATTTAAATATACTTATATAAAGAAAGCTTTTATTAGTAATTTATTTAGATTAGCTTTAATTATTAATAATAATATATAATAAATCTATAATTAAATTAATAACCCTTAGAATATAAACCTTTAAGCTAAATTTACTTAGAAAGAGTAGCTCTAAGTAATCTTTTTGTTTTAAAGAAGAGATCTTAAGAGATATAATAATAAGACTAATAATAATAAAGATAATAATAATAGACTTAGTAATAACTTACTATTAAAGGTTATTATATATATTATTAATTCTATTTTATTTTAACTAAACCTAAATAAAGCTATTTAGAAAAAGGAAGTTTATAATATCTTTACTACTTTATACTTTAGCTTATATATCTTTTTATATAGTACTATATTAAATAACTATAGAGCTACTTACCTGGTAAACAACATATTTCTTTTAGAGCTAAGTATAGTCTAAGTAGTTAAGAAGAGTAATTAATAGGTTAACTTAAATATTACTTTATACCTTATTTATATAAAAGGTAGACGTATAATTAAAGGGATTCTTAGAAGTTAAAATAAAATAAACTAGGACCTTATACTTAAAAATATAGTATATATAAAGAACTTTTATATAAACGTTACATTAGAAGCTTTATTTTGTATAATAAGTATTTAGTACTTAGAGCTAGATTATATCTTCTAATATAAAGGGTATTTAAATAGCTTTATAGTTAAATAACTTATATAAAAAGCAAATATTACTTTTTTTAAATATAAGCCTTTTTTTAATTACTTTTTTTATATATAAATCCTAGTAAGTAATGCGTTTATAGTTAATATTAATATAATAAGGCTATTTTACTATAATACTTTTATATAACCTTTATATTATAAAAAGAGTACTTACTTAGACTTTACTTAGCTTTAGTACTTATAAAGTAGCTACTTAGAACCCTAAGCGTTTAAGTAATTAGTCTTAAACGCTTAAGGGGTAAAGATTAAGGCCTATAAGAGATTAAAATACTTTTATTACTAAATAGTCTATATAAAAAAAGTAGTCTTAAAATAAAGATTAGAATAAAGGTTATTTTATTTATACTATAGAATTACTTAGGACCTTTTTAATTACTTTGAAGAGTATAATAAGAACTTATAGCTTATAGTAATTAAAAATAAATATATTAGCTAATTCTTTAGATTTCTAAGAGTATTAAAAACCTATAAGAGTATATTTAGAGTTCTATATATTTTTAAGTAGTAAGTAGTAAAGTAATATAGCTTTATTTTATATAAGATAAAACAAGATATAGACTACTTTATTATAGTAATTAATAGTAATATAAAGTTTTAATAATAAGTAGAAAAAGAGGAAATTAAGGTTAAAACTATTTTTTTATACATAAAGGAGCTAAATAGTAAAGCTGAGAGGGCTAGTTAAGAAATAATAACTAAAGGTATTAAACTGTTTTTTAGAGTAGGCCTCTTATATAAACTATAAGTTAAAGTAGTAATAACTAGTATATACCTCTATAATATTAGTCCCTTTTAGTATAATACTTAGCTTTACTTAATTAAGAAAGAAGAGAAATAGTTTAAATAATATTTTTGTTAGTAATAACCTTAATACTAAGTAACTCTTAGTTAGGACTTATATTTATAATAAGAATAGCTTTATATATATAACTACTAAGTATACCTTATTTAAAGAAACTAAAAGAAAAACATAGAAAGATAACGCTTTAAGGTAAAACCAAGGGGCTATATTAGATATTTAGTAGGCTATATTTAGAATACCTATAACTTATATTAGATATAGATCCTTTTATTTTAGTAGATTATAATTGTATAAAATATAACGTTTAATAAGAGCTAATTCTATAAAAAAAATAATATAAAGGTAGTAATTTTAGCTAAGAAAATATAGGTAATTATAAATAATATATAATACCTAAGTATAACTTATAACCTAGAATTTTATGTTCTAGGTATTATAAAGAAGGTTAATATTACTCTGATTTTATAAGAAGAATACTCTTTATAATAGCTTTTATTACTTACTTTTATACTAAAAATAGTGTTTTTAGATAAAAAG